GCGTCGGCGTGCCACGCGGCGCAGCAGTGAGCTGGCATGCTGCCAACAACGCAAGGTCGAACGATTAGAATGTCGCAGACATCGTAATCTAACAGGTGACAGATGCAAGACATCAGCGTATAAAGAGTACAGACACAGAGCTAATGATACTCTAATATTATTAATTAATCTATATAATTTATTAATGATTTAGCTAATAATGGTCGACATAATAATATTCAATCTTTATGTACACACTATGTATGTGAATAAATAAATTCGAACTATTAACTATATTATGTTGGTATCATAATTAGAGAGTGTAGACACAGAGCTCAAGGGACACGTTGTGGGAAAGAAAGGAAGTCCTAACATTAGCCTCAGTGTGAAACTCTTCTCTTAGACCATTGACAAAAATTTTGCAAAAATTACAAGAATGAAAACTCGTAGAATATTTCTTCATAGCTGTACAAATTAAAATTCTTTCAATTATGTAGGAGAAAAAATTAATGTCGAGACTAACTTTAGATAGATTTTGTTGCAAAACTCTCAAGCATGTTAGAAGGGAATTAAACTTTAATTATGCACATCAATTCAAACTCCACATACATACTCATTTTTAGTGGGTACATATTATAATAACCTATTATTACTATCGCCGGTGCTTCGAACCTACCTTGTTAAACGTCTCCAGTATTGTAGAAGGCACGTCTGGACTCGTCATGAATTTCTCGTGGAACACTACTGGCACGACAGCTTCTAGAATGTTCCAGAAGCACGCGTGGTTCCTCCAGTGATCCTGCACTGTGTTCCACGCTGCTGTCACCACCTCAACCACTACTCCGTCGCTGAGATCAACCTAGATCATAATAGATGAGCGCAAATTGGTTGAGCTTGTAAATCAATTTTTAATGATACATATATGCGAAATTATGAGTCTCGATTAATTCACTTGATTATGTCTTATATACAACCAGGAGCATCGGACTCATTTGCTCGGACTATTATACGACTATTATATCTATTGTTCAGACTTCTTTATACACTCTACTAAATCATTGTAACTTCACATACACTTCTTCCTACTTTTTCCATTTATATACAGTCAAACCTGCGTATATGGGAATATGCAGTCATACCTGCATATAACTCAAGGAAAATGGCAAAAGTGTGGACAGATGTCTGTTATCATGACCATGTATGATTTGAAGACATGTCAATATATATTATGTTCATGGTATAGAGATGTCCGCTAACAAAGGTCTGTCTGTACGTAATGAACATTTCAAAAGGTTTATACCCTGTGCATCAGAACTTCCGCGGCCCTCAGCAGTGACACGATCGCCATGCCAGACGCCGTGCTTAGACCGTCGACACATCGTTGCAGGACGACCACCGCCGGATCCCATGACGTGTTGTCGTTGCCGCGGCGATGGCATGCTAGAGCGAACCTGACGCACGTCCACTTGGCTTCTGTGTAGAGCGATACTATTAACCTCCCTCGCTCAGCGTGGCTCATGCTGTCTGACGGAAAAACTACGGTTTAGCTATTAATTATTAATTTATTAGTATTAACTATTAATTATATAATTCACTATAGTCTATATATAAGCGAATTCTTGCATTCGTCCTTTGTAAGATTCTATAAAATGATTATTTGAAACTTTCATTCTGTTGTACTTTCCTAATGTTGGCTATTGTAAGTCAATAGTTTAATTTAAATTGAGTTGACTCTTTTTTTTTTCGATCAAGATAACGAGGAAATGCTTCGTGGCTTATCTATTGTGGTCATATTTGTCCTAAGTACGTTCTTAGTATTAAAATCTTGTTTTCTATGAGAATTCACACATATACACGTCTCCTCACATTAATATGGACAATATATATACAATGTAATATGTAATACAAACAGTAAAACTAGGTAGCATATAACAGAGGCTAACATTCACCTTCCAGGAATCCTGGCTAGATCTTCTCTGTAGAGATTGCTTTCAATGAAAGACGGTATAGTTCTTCAACTAAACACGGCGGCGTGTCATTGTTTCCGATGCCGACGGCTTCACAGATGCTTGACAGGTTGACAGCATCATTGTACACACCAGCTGACACATCGGTCTTCCAACCTACCGCAAAACAATGACACGTTTGATTATTCTCCATCAATTTCGCATGTGTGCGGAACTCATCAACGACCGATATGTGTGAAACATAACAAAGGGGATTTGTGCTCTTCCTAAATTTTGATCGTATCAATATTAAATATGTTACTATGAATATATCTACGCGGTTATATATTGCTGCATGAACATCAAGCATTAATTGTTTTTACACGGTTTAATTCGGGCACTCACTTATTTAACATGTTAACCGTTACAATAATCATAAAGATACCAGTATCAGTAAAAATCCCTGATATCGGGGGTCTAACTGAGAGCATGTAAATAAAGAGGAGAACAGCTCTGAACACAATCAGGGCGGGTCTCTGCACAAACACACCTCGTCAACTTTCGACAGTCTCCAGTCTGTGTACGGGACTGCTGACTAGCTTCTGTACGTGGCATCAGGACAGCAGCAGGACACAGCGCGTGTAGAATCCGCAGGGCCCTGCAGTATAGCTCCACGGTCGACACGTCGCTCGCCTGCCAATTAACGCAAAACCTTATCAGGTTTCATTTCATTTGCACTCATTTACCGCCCAGCTGACGATCGAGGCACCAGAGAGAATGTGTTATTAAAGTCAGGTTCCTTAGCTTCATGATCGTTACAGAGCTAACAAAAGCATCAAACTTGGCACAGTTGTAGCCTATGGCAGTACTATAAATATTAGAGGTGGTGCACAATGTAGATATTCCTTAGAAGTGAATTACAGATGATTAAATGTTCGAACCGCTCCCGCCTGTACTGGCGCATTGTATATTGCGCTATAACCGGCATGAAAGTGTATTAACTCTCATATCTCACGAACGAATTGAGCTACATTTCTAGAAATCTAGATACATATAAACACATGTCTTAGCTATAATCCCCGTGAATTTTGAGTTTATTGAATCACGAATAGTTTAATTAATTACCAAAAATATACGCACGGTATCGCTCATAGCCTAATATATACGCGCGGCTATGGCCCGTAGGATACTGTACTAACTCTAATATCTCGCGAAAGATTTGATTTAGATTTCTAAAATTCTAGATATCTGTAGACTAGATTATTATTAATAGACTATTATTATTCACTCCTGATCCTATCAATTAAAGGTGTCGCTAACTGGTAGGAGATATATACAGGCGAGTTTTATGTAATGTGAAGTAAGGTAGAATTTAGGTATAGAGTATATCCGGGATAAAAAAAAAATTTACGTACGGTCGCTACTCAAGGTACTCCAATACCATTTTAGCATTTTAGAGTTTATTAAAGCACGAATAGTTTAATTATTTACCAAAAATATACGCACGGTATCGCTCATAGGCTAATATATACGCGCGGCTATGGCCCGTAGGATACTGTACTAACTCTAATATCTCGCGAAAGATTTGAGTTACATTTCTAAAATTCTAGATACCTATAGACACATGTCTTAGCTATACTCTCTGTGAATATTGTACTCTCTGTACTGTGTGTACTGGCACATTGTATGCTGGTCCATGGTATACTGGCATTGTATACAGGCGGGCGCGGTAGGGGGGTTCGGAGTCGGGTGGTTCGAACATTTAATCA